GCATCTGGCATTGTTGCACATTAACACATTGAAAATGCTTATTGTTTTGAGAAAAATGGCGAATACTTGGTAAATCTGGGTAGGGGGTGTGGTTATAATGCTAAGTTAGCCTATGTGTCCTTGGTGAAAGACCAGAAACCTGTGTGGATAGGTGTCGAGCCTTCCAGTTAATACCGATAAAAATGACAAATTGGTAGTACTTGTATAGTCTACTTGCAGACACGTATCTAGAGATTCACAGAGTTGTATTCACAGTCTTGTTTTCTATTGAAGGGAAATGTTTTAATTAATTATGATATAAATCTGGCATTGCATGGTTTTAAAACCAAACCAAACCAAGCCTTGAGTCCCATCAAATGGGGTCAGGTACATGAATCCTTCTTCTCCATGCGGCCCTATCAAAGGCCATTTTATTAGTCAAATTAAATAGATCCATATCTCTATTTACAACGTTAGCCAACGTGAATCTAGGCCTACCCCGTACCCTAACACTCCCCTCTACCGTTACAACATCGTATCTCTTCACTACTGCCTCTGTTGGTCTCCGTTGAATGTGACCAAACCATCTCAATCGATTCTCTCTCAAATTATCTTCTATCGGTGCTACTCCTACCCATTCCCGAATACACTCGTTCCTAATTCTGTCTTGTCTAGTCTTGCCACACATCCATCTTAGCATCCTCATTGCAGCCACACTCATCTTATCTACATGTTGTTTCTTGGTTGCCTAACACTCCGTCTCATACAACATCGCTGGTCTAATAGCCATTCTATAGAACTTACCTTTTATTCTAGTGGGTATTCGTTTATCGCACAGTACCCCAGATGCACTTCTTCACTTACACCCTCCCGCCCTAATGCTATGGGCCACATTCGCATCAATCTCACCCGCTGTTGTGATAATCGACCCTAAATAACGAAAATGTTCACTCTTAGGCAGTTCTTGGTTCTCAATCTTCACTTCTCCTCTGCTTTCATTGTTACTGTTACTAAATTTACACTCCATGTACTCTGTCTTAGTTCTGCTTATCCGGAATCCTTTCGATTCAAGAGTTTTTCTCCAAATCTCCAACTTTGTGTTAACTCCTTCTCTAGCATCATATCATCTGCAAAAAGCATACACCATGGCACGTCATCCTGAATATTTCTCGTCAACTCATCCATAACTAAAGCAAAAAGATAAGGGCTTAAGATAGATCCTTAGTGTAACCCAACAGTGATAGGAAATTTATTTGTCTCTTCAACAGGCGATCTAATAGTGGTCACCGCCCCTTCATATATGTCCCTAATCACATCAATGTAACCTTTTGTCACCCCTTTCTTCTCTAACACCCACCATATTATATCTCGGGGCACTCTATCATATGCTTTCTCAAGCTCGATAAACACCATATGAATGTCTTTTTTCATTTCTCTATACTTTTCTATTACTCTCCTCAAAAGATAAATCGCTTCCATTGTTGACCTACCAGGCATAAACCCAAATTGATTCTTTGACACCTCTGTTATATCTTGCAATCGGCATTTCATCACCCTCTCCTACACTTTCATTATATGACACATTAGCTTGATTCCTCTATAGTTGTTGCAATTCTGGACATCTCCTTTATTCTTATATATTGGCACTAAAATACTCTTCCTCCACTCATCTGGCATGTTCCTAGTCAACAAAATTTTGCTAAACAACCTAGTCAACCAAGCAACCCCCTTTTTACCCAAGCACTTCCAAGCTTCAATAGGGATATCATCGGTCCTAAAGCCTTATTTGATTTCATCTTCTTAAGTGCAATCTCCACTTTAAAGTTCCTAATCCTGCGATAAAACCTATAGTCTTGGTTTATCGTATTACTGGCCATTTCTTCCCCTATTCTCGTACCTCCATGTTCCTCATTTAATAGTTTCTCAAAATAGCTCTTCCATCTTTCCTTAATCTTTTTATCCTTCACCAATATCTTAGAATCCTCACTCTTGATGCACTTAACTTGATTAAAATATTTTGTTTTCCTCTCTCGTATCTTAGCAAGTTTGTATACCCTCTTCTTTCCCTCTTTACTATCCAGTCTAGTGTATAGGTCATCATAAGCTTTCAACTTCACCTCTCTCACTACTTTTTTGACCTCCTTATTAGCCAATCTATAGTTCTTAAGGTTTTTCTCAGTTCTATCCTTCTGCCACTTTTTAAAGCACTCTTTTTTTGCCTTAACTACCGCTTGAACCTCTTCCTTCCACCACCAAGTTTCCCTAGAGCTAGGTCCCGTCCCTTTCGATTCTCCAAGCACTTCCCGTGAGATTCTCCTCATACAATTGGCCATCGAGTTCTATATAGTGTTAGCATCATCTTCCAAGTCTCAAGTACCTTCCTTATCCATTCTATTCTTAAATATTTCTAGTTTATCCCCTTTTAGGTCCCACCATCTTGTCCTACGACGCCCACCATCCTTCCTAGCTTGGTATTGCCCTCTAAAACATAAATCTAGTACCAAAATCCTATGTTGAGAGGTCAGGCTCTCTCCAGGAATCACCTTACAATCATTGCATTTTAGGCGGTTCACTTTTTCTCACTAAGAAGTAATCTATTTGGCTCTTAACTGACCCACTCTTAAAAGTTATCAAATGCTCATCCTTCTTCTTATACATAGTATTGGCCACCACCAGGTCAGAAGCCAACGCAAAATCTAAGATACTCTCTCTAGCCTCATTTCTGTCACCAAAACCATATCCACCATGCACCCTTTCATAGCCTAGTTTATCTATGCCTATATACGGGTATCACCTGTAAGATCTCATCCATTTGCTCCCAAAAATCCCTTTTAGTCTGATCATCTAATCCTACTTGAGGGGCATATGCACTAATAACGTTCACTATATTCCCTCCAATAACTAGTTTAACTAACATAATCCTATCCCCTTTCCTAATGACCGCCACTACATTCTCTACCAGACCCTTAGCAATTATGATTCCTACCCCATTCCTGCGTTTGTCCTTACTACTATAATACAGTTTAAAGCCGGTATCCTCAATTTCCCTAGCTTTCTCACCCATCCACTTAGTTTCTTGTACGCAACCTATACTAACTCTCCTCCTAATCATAACATCTACCAATTCCATCGTCTTACCAGTTAAGGTTCCTATATTCCAAGTGGCTACGCTAAATCTGTATTCTTGAACTAGCTTTTTTACCCGCGCTCGTCCAGGAAAACACGAGAACCTTTGCCCATTTTTCACCGCACCCAGGCGTCGATGCGGCGCCCCTTGCTCACTTTTCAAAACACTCGGAGGCAGGCGCAACGCATTACTTGAGGGTAACGACCTAGCATTTAAATGATTCAAAGTAGGATTCATTTTCATAAGGGATCCGAACGGCTTTTTTTACGTGTTGGCTGTCGGCTACCTAACACACAACCCTCCTCCTTAACTCGGGCTTGGGACCGGTAGAGTTGTTAACAACCCCGGCAGAGTTCATTGCATGGTTTTGAAAGAGATATAAAATGTTTTGGCACGAGTATTGCATATGTATTCACCTTATAACTCTGTTAAGATTCATATACTGTGTTGGATTATTTATACTAGGCTTTGGCTCATCCTATGTGGGAAAACCATTTTAGGTGCTGATGATATGCCTCCACCAAGGCAATAGCTTGGGAGGACTTGGAGCAAGAGCTTCATTTTGTTTAATTGTGTATTTATTTTTTTGTACAAGCTTAGGGCTTTATTTGTAGAGGAAACATCATTTTCCCTCCAAACTATCACGCATTTTTCATGTTGACCCCTATACTTCGATTTATTTCAATTTAGTACCTGAACTTTCCACAAATTGATCAATTAGACCCCTGTTGTCACCTTCCGTCCACAATTGGACAAAATGTGATAAGCTGTGCCCTTGAATTATCTTTTGAAGGGAATATAAGAGGGTTTCCCGCCATACGCAACCTTTCCCTTCTACTATATAATAGAGGCAAATTCCCAAAAAAAAAAAAAAAAAAAAAAAAAAAAAAAACAGAGCATCTTTTCGGTAGTGAGAGAGAATGAGGAATAGAGGGTCAAGAAACCAGGGAAGATCGAGCTCAACTGAAGGAAGATGGAGTTCAAGTGACATGGAAGACCTGAGATGTATTTTCTGTGGAAGACGAAGGGTGATACAAACATCATGGACTGATGCAAATCTTGGTAGGAGGTTCCTCAGTTGTCCCACTAATGGTTGTAATCAGTTCACTTGCATAGACCCACCTATGTGCTCACGGGCAGTGAAAATCATCCCTGGGCTGTTGAAGAAGGTCAATAAGCTAGAAGCAAGATTACAGACAAGGAATAGAAGAGAGAGAAGGCTATGGATATGCTTGGCTGCCTTATGGTGCATCATTTTATCAATGTGGCTTGTAATGTAGTGTAAGAAAGAATGTAATAGGGGAGGGGGACTATTATGAATGAATGAATGTAATGGGGGGAAATATTATGAATGAAATGTAATGAGGGCAGTATTTTGAATCAAAATTTCAGATTTTGTGTTAAGGTTTTACTCTTAAAAAAAAACGGAGCTCACAACATTTGTTTGTCTCCTAAAAAATAATTTGTGTTCACCCTTAAAAAAATAGGACATTATCATTTAATTAAAAAAAAAAAGTGGCATTGTGTGTTGCTTTAACTATTTGTCATCCATCCATCAAAAAAACTAATTGGTGGCCTCTTTGAATGGCTCCTTGGCAACCAATGAATAAAATACCTATCACTGGCATCCATTCATCAAATGGCAACCAATGAATAAAAGACCTATCACTGGCATCCATCCATCAAATGATATTCATTCAATGAATAAAAAACCTATCAGTGGCATTCATTCAAAACACACAATTAGAATTCATCCATCTAATGGCAACCAAAACCAACACAAGCTACATTTACATAGAAATGAGTACCATCCTTTAAAATAGAGCATTATGCACAAAAGCAACATTTATAAATTTGTCATTCAAGTTTTCAAAACACACAATTGTTTGTGACAACCAAAATACTACATTTACATAGTTAACAAGTTCAGGGCAACCATTCCAAACAAAAAATCATTACATGTACAAAAAGCCCCAATGAGAAAGTCATGCAGATGCTTCCTTTTTCTATCCCAAAAGAAAAAAAAAAAATTCAATCTTCTGTGCAATGGATGCTTCCTACTTCCAATCTCCAGGTGCTCCATTTTTTTGTCCAGTGGATGCTGTTTTAAGGCCACTAGCATTGTACACTAGCTTGCCTCTCCACATCATTTGACTCTCCTTTGGTGTGCTGGTTGAACTCAATGGAGATGGAGTTGACTGACTTTCTTGTACCACTCTCCTTTTAACCTGCAATAAGATTGAATTATCCACAATCAAACATAATCAAATATAGGACAATTAAGTTAATATTTAAAAAAAGAAGAAGAAGGAAGAACACTGACAGCCAGTTTCTTCTGTCTCATGTGTCTCTTAACCTCAGGTGCTTTTACAGTTAATTGACTCTAAGGTTGGCTTGGTTCAGTTTGGCTCCCCTGAAGTTGGCTTGGTTCCCCTAAGGTTGGCTTTCTTGCATATAGCTGAATCTGCCCTTGACCTTGCAACTTCCCCTGTTGTGTCCCACCTTTCCACAATTATTACAAGTGATTTTAGTGCCCTGCCTTTCTAGCTTTGTGCCTTGAATTGGTGCCTCACTCTCCTTTCTTTTATTTTGTTTAGGCCTCCCAGCTCTCTTCTTCACATCAGGTGGCAGCACCTTTGTATACTCAATTCTTGGCCACATTTCTCTACCATTAATAGGACTCAACATATTGTCATAGATCTTCATATAAGTCTCTGCCTTGTAGTACTGATGAACATATTTTTTTGGTTCTTGACCCAAGAAATTTGCAGCAGCCACAACATGGGCACATGGAATGCCTAATCCCATTTCCTGTATACACAAGTCCAAGCTTGCAAGTCCAGCTTGTATTGCTCACCATATGGCCCTACAACCTCAAATTGCTCATTGCCATTCTATCCAGGAATTTATCCAGCTGCATCCACTTTCATTTTCTCTAAATGATTTTCAATCTTAGGACATATAGGACCATTGTGTCTTTGCATTGCATCTCTTCTTTTTTGAACTGTTTCCATCAACAACAACGTAATCTTCTCTAACATTATAACCACAGGTTTACTCCTAGCTTCCAAGATGCTTGAATTGAAGCACTCACATAGATTGTTTAGCAAAAGGTCACACTTTGGAAAAGTATTGAAGTGGCTCCTACTCCAATGAATTGGTGGTCTTTCAACTAGCCAAGGTCACACTTGTGTCAACACCTTGTTTCTTGTCCTTCTCACTTTTTGTAAGTCAACCTTCACATTATGCTCACTTGAAATAGTGTCTTCCAATGACTGAATTGGCCATGTAGGATTTAACCTAATTCTTTCAAAGTACCTCTTCACAATCCATTTGGAACTCACATGTGCCACATCAAAAGACCTATTACAAGTGTGCTCATCAACAAGTGTTTTGATCCTATACAACCCATCATGTTTTACATATAGCATAACAATCCCAAGGACAACCAACTTTGCACTCTGCTCTCACCTTTTGTTTGTCATTCTTGGTAAATGTTATATGTTTGCCCCACTGAATTGCATACTCCTTCACAGCATCCCTAAGCATATCATAACTCTTGAACTCCATACCAAGTTTGAATTGAGGATTGAGCATATCAAAGTCAACATTAAAAGCAGGGTATTGCCTCCTATGAGAAGTTCCTCCTTCAGCATATGATCTGTTAATGCTTCTTAGCTCATCAAAGGAGCTTCCAAGGCTTTGTAGGTCATCAATTGCCTCAGCCATTGCATTCTTACTACTTCCTACACTAGCAAACTCTAGATCATTGTCAACATTAGCCTCATACAATGCATCATCATCAGAAAATCCTGTCACTATCCTCATATTTCTCAGACTCATCAAACGAGGAAGAGTCTGAGGGATTAGGATCAGAGTCATCACTATCTTATTTTTTTGCTACCTGTATATCTACAAGTACTCCCTTTCTCTGACTTCTTTTTGCACTTAGCCCTACTTGATTAACTTGGGCACCTATAACACCATCCATTCCTAAACAACCTACATAAACCTCTACTACTCTGTTTCCATCCACAAGTGTCTCCAACCTCATTACATCTTGATCAATGTTAATCAACTCTAACCCAACACAATAATTAACCTTATAGTAATAGATTTTACATCCAGTGCAGCCTACTTCCTTAGCCATATTATCCAACTCTACAAGTGACATTTCATAAGAATTACAAAAGTCAAAATAACTGATAAATCCACCACTATAAACCCTCTGAGAATTATAACTAACCAAACCCCCATGATGCATTTTGATTGTGAAATAACAAGATCCTTTCTCTGCATTTTTAAATGAAAAAACATGTTATTATGGACTAATTATACTAATAAATAAATAAAAATAGTATTAAACTACTATTACAATAAGATAGTTCCAATTGAAGAAATCCATGTATGAATACATTTAAAAAAAAAAAAAATTGTCTATATTCTTAGTAAATTGATTTTTAATAAGCATTACATAAAAAATGAGTTTGTTTTAAAGACTGATTAAACTAAAACTAATCAAGTATTACACTATTCAATTGAAACAATTACGATCAAACAAACCCTTTTGAAAGACAAACAGACAAAGATGTATTCTAAAAAATGCCAAATCAAAATAGTGTTATATCAGAAATCGATTTTTCATAATCATTAGCTTCAAAATTAAACAAATATTAAAAGTAAATATCATAAACAATTGGTCGATTCTTTCGCTTGCCATCCTTCTCTCTTCGAACCCAACCCATGATTCAATGTTAGTTCGTGCCCTTCGTTCAATGATGAACTTTGATTTTGATTTCGAATAAGGAATTTCAAAACCCTAAAACCGATTTTGATCCCAACGAAGCCCTAGTTGAACTGTCTATCACACCAACTTATTTTGTAAGGAAACCCTCTTATATTCCCTCCAAAAGATAGTTTAGGGGGACAACTCATCACATTCTGTCCAATTGTGAACGGAAAGTGATGGCAGGGGTCTGATTAATCAATTTGTAGAAACTTCAGGTACTAAATTGAAATAAATCGAAGTATGGGGGTCAACGTAAAAAACGCGTGATAGTTTGAGGGGCAAAATGATATTTTCTCTTATTTGTATTGAGTTTAAACTCGCTTTTGTTGTAACCAAGTATTTTCTTGGAAAGCTGTAAGCCTTTAGGGTTGTTTAACTTGTGTTTCATATCTTTAACATGTAACACATGCTATAGATTCAGGGTTGGGGCTTTTGAATGTATAACTACATGTTTTGTATTATGAGATCATATGGAATGGAAGGGTCAATGTATTTAGAATGGTATGATTATTCATTAATATAGTGGATGGTTTCATTGTTATTATTTCGGGGCGTTACAGACAGAGGATAATGGCAATGATGACGATGCATCTGTGATGGTGGAGTGTAGATCGGCGACATGGATTAGAGATGGTGAAGTGTAGATAAGAGATGGTTGTGAATAGTAGTGGTGGTAATGGTGGCTAGTGAAGGTGGCGATAGTCTGTGATGGGCGGTGATAGTCAATGATGGGTGTGGGTGACGGTGGCAGTGGCAGTGGCGGGTGGACGACTATAGTGACGGTGGCAGTGGCAGTGGCAGTGGCAGTGGCAATGGCGAGTGGACGACTATAGTGACAATGGTGGTGTGGCGACTGTGGTGGTTTGAAGCTCTTTAGAGAAATGGTGTAGAGAGAGATGAGGAAGAAGAGTTTTCTGGAAAAATGGTAGAAAGATAAAGAAGATGACAAAAAAAGAGAAAATTAATGAGAACTAATAAATTCAATGAGGATAGTATAGGCATTTTAGGATTTAATGGTGCATTTAAAAAGTCAATAGGACTCAATGATATTTAAGTCCACTTAATGCAACTGAACCGTAACTAATCCTTTATTTTTTGTCCTACAATTTGTCTTTACTAGACTTTAGGGAAAGGTTATTTTTTCAAAGAAATGTTATAGAAAATTTATTAAAAATATTTGAAACCCTTTAAAAAAAATTCTTAATTTGGCCCACAATATTTGTCACTCTTAATCATATAGAGCACAATTCCCCACTCACATCATTATAGATATAAAATTATGAGTTTTTAACATTTTTCAATGACATCTCATCCATTATCCCAATTCTTTCAAGCTTTTTTGGTAACTTTTATATTTACAATTTCTATTTATATTTACAAAATTTTTAAAAATTAAAAATAAAAACTTGTTTGCTTCCTGAATTAGTTTTTAAAAAATTGTAAACACAAAAAGGTTAATTTCACTTGCTTATCAAAAATTACTAAACAATTTTATTTTTTTTTTTTGACCAACAACCATTCCTTATTGCAACTGTCTACTATCATTGATTTACCTTCGCCAACCACCTTCGGCTACCACCTCCCTCAACCGCCAACCACCTCCCATCAATAGTAATCATCTTTGACCACCACCTCTTATTGAAAATTTCCTTACGTGGTTGACTGGTCACCATTTCTAACCATCAACAATTACTTTCAGCCATCACTTCATGTGGCAAGCAACCACTTCTGACCGTCGCTAGCCATCTCCGCCCATTATCTTTGACCGTCAACAACTACCTTTTCTTACTTGTTTTCAAAACAAAATTTTTAAAAACTTGTATACCAAGGAAAATGCTATTGTGTACACCATATGCACCCTACTATAAATGTATAACTTTGCCACAAAATTTTGTAACATTAACTACAAAATGCGTAACCTCGTTAGAAATTGACATGACAAAATATCTAAAATTTTGTGATTGATGTTGCAAAAGTTTGTGACTTGGTGACGACATTTTTTGTTACACCAATTTGTGACAAGATTACGCATTTTATGGTTAATGTTACGAAATTTTATGATAAAATTATATATTTGTGGTAGGAGTGCATATGGTATGCAACCTTAAAAAGGTGCACACCATAGGAGAACTCATGTATTAAATATGTTTTTTGTTTTAGTTTTTACTAAAATATATATATATATATATATAAACATGTTTAACATTTTTTTTAATAAACTAGTTGGACCCCACGCACTCCGTGCGTGCGGGTCACACTATAGTTGATTGAGAATAAGAAGCATCACAATGTATAATATTATTAAGGTATTTTTAGATAATTCTTAGGTCGTAATATCAATTAGCAAATAAAAAAGGAACATTTATTAATCAGTTCTATTAACTGGATTTATCCCTATTGACAATTTTATCATTGTAAATTTATTCATATAAAGAAGAGCGATTAATAATTTATCAATAGGATTTAACGGATAATAAATTTCAAAAATAGGGTTTATTGGTGATTTATCTTGAAAAAAATTGCAAATAAGAAAATCACATATTAGAATGTCTTGTTTGATAGATGGTTTAACGATAAAAATATGTAATTTTGTTTGATCGGTGTTGTTCATTGATTGCTTGCTTGAGTGATTAGGTTGAATGAATATAACCAGAGCAATTGAAATTTGTACATGAAAAATATTGAGTTAATTTGAATATATAATTAATTAATGTTTTTGGGGGTAAACATTATTAAAAAGATATTTTACGAAAACAATAAATAAATCTAGTAAGTATTGTTTTTTTCTTTTCTAAAAATATATACTACATTCTCTTGTATTAATAAAATATTTCAGTGCTCAGTTCCAAAACAAATTGGTTCCAAACAGAGTGTTCAGGTCTTGTAATGAATCTTAAAAAAACAAACCAACTCTAGCATCACGTAACATGTTGTGTGTTATCTTATTTTTATTATACATTCCAATTAAAAAGTAAAATATTTGATTCTGCTACGTTAAATTCGTAAGAGATGAAGAAAATAAATTAACGCTGTCTTTGGTTGGAGGATTTGAGGAGGGATTTGGAAAGGGAATGGGAAAAGTTAGGTGAAATGTGAATAAAATATACCTATATTTCACCTAGTTTCACACACCTTTTCCCTTTCCCTTTCCCTTTCCAAATCCGTCTCCAAATCTCCCAACCAAACACAGCATAAAGAGAAAATTTTCTATAGCAAAAAATTAAAGAAAAGAAATATGTTTTGCCCAGCTTTACCTCTATTTCATCGGTGACCTAGAACTATAGACTGAGATCCACCGAGTAGTTGGGGTACCTAATTGAACTGTTTTTGCAAGGCTGCGCACCATCTTCCAAATCCACAAGCAATCTCCCCCCTTTTTTTGACCCACCTGTAATGCATGACATGTTTAACAACAAATATTTAGAAACAACAGCACACAAACTTTAGACGATTGCTCAATTGACATAAATCTACAACCAACAACCTTCAAGGCTCCATCTAATGATGGGTTGCAATGACGCACTGGAATTTATGTTGTCTTGAGTGAAATAAGCTTCAAGTAATTGGTTTCTTCATCAAAATTCATATTGGTCACCATCTTAAGAAATTGTTGAAAAGGAGGAGGACATAAGGAACCAAGCATAGGGAAGTACCCATTTTCTTTTTACAAACAAGGAATCCTTTATTCTCACCCCGCAACCCAAGAATATACCATAATTTGAAGTCAAAGCAAAAAATACATGTAATTCTCTCACATGTCATTTATGATGGTATCAAATCACTTTCCTCGCTGAAAGAGTAAAACTTAACAAGAAACTCAAGGGGTGCAGCACTTTGGTAAGACTTTGGAACATAAGCCAGGTTCCACTCTCTCCAGGGCCAGCCACCAGGGCGACAACACATATAGTTAGTAGGACGAACCTTTTAGGCCTGAGCAAACCGTACCCAGTGTCAAAAGTGTGGGTTTGAATCCCCCCCTGTGTGCAAGTCCATGACTTACCACTACGTAGTTGAGTAGCCCTACTATGTACCAACCACCTAAGGTGACCTCTGGGGCCTCGGCTCCGTATAGGGTCTAACCCTAGAGGTTGCCCTTTGTGGTTTGGCCTTTTTTTTTTTTTTTTTTTTTTAAAGCTTAACAAGAAACTTATGAGGCAAGTTATGCAGGCCAATTCTATAAACTAACTCCCCCAAAAAGCCACCCAAAAATTAAGATAAATAGAACTGAGGAATATTTCTTCCATTGTACGATAAACGAATACCCACTAGACTAAAAGGTAAGTTTTATAGAACGGCTATTAGACCAGCTATGTTGTATGGGACGGAGTGTTGGGCAACCAAGAAACAATATGTAGATAAGATGAGTGTGGCTGAGATGAGGATGCTAAGGTGGATGTGTGGTAAGACTAGACAGGACAGGATTAGGAATGAGTGTATTCGGGAATGGGTAGGAGTAGCACCGATAGAAGATAAGTTGAGAGAGAATCGTTTGAGATGGTTTGGTCATATTCAACGGAGACCAACAGAGGCAGTAGTGAAGAGATGCGATGCTGTAACGGTAGATGGAAGTGTTAGGGGACGGGGTAGGCCTAGATTAACGTTGACTAGCGTTATAAATAGAGATATGAATCTACTTAATTTGACTAATGAAATGGCCTTTGATAGGGCCGCGTGGAGAAGAAGGATTCATGTAGTTGACCCCATTTGATGGGACTTAAGGCTTGGTTTGGTTTGGCTTACTTTAAGTCTTCTGAAGGTAATTATTGGTAGCTAAACTCGTTCAGACATGCTTCATGTGTCATGCATGGGTTATTTTTTACGGATTCAATATGTATGCTGAAATTATTAATCATCAGGAGCAGTGGGTTTTAGGTAATTAGGTACCTTAAATTTTGAGCTGTTTGATTCTTCAAATGTTCAATGATTTATTATGAGCACAAGGAAGGTGATTTGCTGTTAATTTTGTTGGCTGGTAGTTGGACTTCATTCATGATTGAGACAGCAACAGGTTTTCTATTTTCTATTTTCAGAGTCATATTAGCAAACAGGGTGGTGTGCATAATTTACACACAAATGTAATTAAAGAAAAAAAAATTGCTCCATGAATTATTCACAACCATAGAATTCATTCAAGCATATTGTCGAGCACATGATGGGCAAAAGGCTTGACATTGCGACAGAACAGAACCGAACTCCAAATAGAGAAATTAAGCATAATTGAATAATCGACAATAAGAGGAAGATGACATACCTGAGTTTCTGGAAGATGTTGCACATGGTAGAACATGCACCAGATAGAGCATGTATGAACATACATATAATGAGCTATTGCCGCATGACCCTTGCGCATACACTGACATCACCGTTTGAGCAAGACAACAAACCACACCGTCTCACCTCCTTGGAACTCACAGGTCAACCAGAATAGTCATTAGAAGAAACTTCCAGCACTTCAAGGTGCAGCTATTTTGTTTTTTTGTTCCTATATTGAGACTTCAACCATCTAATATTATATATATATATATATGCTGGACATGTTAGGAAAGAGTAAGGATCCTTGGTCGCCCTTTCCTGCAGCCTTCCCTGCCACTCTTACTAAAACAACGTCGTTTTGGTTAGTGATTTTTTTTTTCCCCCCAAAATTTGATTTCCCGCTTTTTCCGCTTTCATCTTCCTCTGATATGTTCTGTTTAGCCCTAACAACCATCACTATGGTTTGCCTCAAGTCGTTCTCGTTGGTTTGCCTCAAGTCATTCCAAGATATTCAAAACTTCATTGTTTCTCTCAAAATCATAATCATACTCGCTCTTATCTTCATTCTTCATATGAATAACTTTACTTCTCCTTTGGATATTTGATGCATTCCCAGTAGAGAGCCACTCCCCACGCAAAGTAGTCCCAAATCCTATCTGGACACTTGAAATACAACCTCCCTAGATTTTTCTCTGATTCTGATATGTACACTCTTGTTTTTTCCCCACATTTGCATCGTTTATTTTGCAAGAATCCAGCATCATTGTTTGATGTTAATCCTAATTACAAGTAAACACAAAAGTCAATTTTAGATGTAACCATAAAACCTTAATGTAGGCAGCTAATTAAGCATGTAAAAAATTAAACAGTTATGACCACAATAATTATCTATCGTATCGTACCAATACTTGTACCCGTACACGTGCTTCATAGAAAGCCATCAACAATGCAACACAGATCTAACCACAGTTGAAGTTAAGAGATCTAGGTAACTGTGGGAGCCGAATAATTTTTAATGAATAAGAGCCAAATGAATTTCGGGAAAATTAGGATATAGGTTATTCGGCTTCACCCAGGGGGATCATCAAGCCGAATAGATAAATCGGCCATAGAACCAGTTGAACAAGGAGTCGAGTGGGAATTGGCATACGACAAAAGGGCCGAATGAGCAATCATGCGATGGACTAATAATGGGCTCGACCCTAGGGCCCAAAAGTGAATATAAATAGAGGAATATCAACCAAAGAGAGGTATGTGAGAACAGACTCAAGAAACTTAAGACACAAGCAAGCGAAAGACATATACTAACTTGTCCGTCAGAGTGCTAATTCTGGCACCCCTGATCGGAGTGTTAATCTCTTTTTCAGGTGGCAATCAGAGGATCAGGAACATCCATCAGGATCCAAGAGTATTTCCAAACCACATAACCATAATTGGCGCCGTCTGCGTGAATACTCAAGCATATCTATGGCGGTCGTCACAGAAGATCGTCCGATAGTCACTGACAAAACTACGCCAAGAGACGATTTCACTCCAAGAGACATGCTTGGACCTGAGAATATCACCGCATGACGGGCCTTGAACTTCGATTCAGTAGCTCAGACCTCACCGTCAACCTCAATGCATGAGACAATGTAAAGGATTATGGATCAAGCAAAGCAAAATAAACAGCGGTTGGAGAACATGATGGCTGAGAATGAGCGCTCGTGCCAGGATTTGGCCTTGGAGGTGGCGAAATCCCAACAAGCCGCATGCTAAGACCGGGGTTGACCTTCGGGAAAGAAGGATGGTTGAAGACGTCGACTTCGGAAACGCAATAATGACAGTGATTCTAACTCACCATCCCCAGAGCCCAGAAAGAAAGGATGAGTTGATGTATCCAGCTCATCTGAAGGAAGTTCGTATGTACATGTCAAACAAGGGAGGAGCGATAACTTGGATAAGAAAGATAAGCATGGCCCCTTTGTGCGACAAATTGCAAGGGCTGTACTACCCAAAAAGTTTAAAGCACCGTCGTTCACCCTCTACGACAAAAAATCGGACCCTACCGATCACATTCGCCATTATAAGCAAGCAATGACACTTCATGCTGACGACGAAGCCCTCATGTGTTGAATATTTCCAAGCAGTTTGGGACCGATGGCCATCAGGTGGTATTATAAACTAGAGCTAGCGTTGATTAGGAGTTTCCATCAGCTCCAAAAGTCCTTCAGGGCTAGATTCATCACTAATGAAGTCCAGCCAAAGTAGGCCGATTCCCTCTGGGTGATGTAAATTAAAACATGCGAAACCCTTTGTGAATATTCGGCGCGCTATTGGGAATGCTTCAATCTGGTAGATGATGCTTGCAATGACTCCATGGCCATCACCGCCTTTAAGATGGGATTGCATCCTGATAGTCCCCTCCGCAGTTCATTAACCAGACAGCCCCCTAAAACAGTTTGGGCGTTAATGAAGACGGTTGAAGAATATTGCAAAGTGGAAGATGATGCCTTGTGGGTCAAAGCCAGACATAAATCCGCTGAGACAGCCACGTTGGAAATCGTTTAGCCGATTAGCGTCATGCCATTTAGAAGCCCCGAGCCGTGGAATCGAGCTAAACGAGACAAAAGGCGTGACTCGCATCGATCAAACAATCAATGTTCACATCGAGCTAATGAACAATATCAAGTGGATAGCAGGCACACAAGGCGCTCAGGTAAGAAATACATAGAGCTAACAGAGCCGATCAGTAAGATTCTGTCGAAAGTTCAACACCTTCCGTTCTTCAAATGGCTGTCCAAGATGACAGAACCTCCCAATATAAGAAAATGGGATAAACGGTGTGAGTATCATAAGGACCACGGTCACGACACTGATAGTTGTTATGCGCTAAAGGATCACCTGGAGGAGTTGGTGCAAGACGACCGTCTTACGCAACACGTACGGAAGAACAATCCAACAAATACGGTAGCTCTGCGGCAGGACTCACCTCCTCTTGGTGTAATTCATATGATATACAGCTTGCCGACGTCATCCAAGGTGCATACAATTCAATTGCAATCTAGCTCCCATAGCCCAATCACGCCAGTGAAACGGCTCCATGAAGCTAGAAGAATCAGTTTTGATGATAGTAACTTAATCGGAGTAACTCACCCTCACACTGATGCATTCGTCATCGAACTATGCGTAAACAGGTTCACCATTGAGCGTGTTCTCATCGACCAGGGCAGCACTTTGGAAATAATGTATTACAAAACTTTTTCCAAACTTGGCCTCACTAACTCGGCTCTGTCTCCGGCTGATTACCCGTTGTTCAGCTTTAATGCTAAACCGGAGTATCCTTTGGGCAAAATAATACTACCGGTTCGGGCGGGCACAAGATCAGTAGATGTAGAATTTCTGGTTGTCAAGCTTCCTTCGCCGTATAATCTCACCATAGGAAGAACTTGGTTGCATACCATGCAGGCTGTGCCAACCACCTACCATCAACTACTTCGTTTTCCGACTGAATATGGTATTATTAGATTCGAGGTTCTCAGAAATCGGCACAGGTATGCTAACTTGTTACAACGAGGCCAAAAGAGTTGGCAGTGCGTTCAATTGAGGTATCGGATAGGGAGAGCCTCGAAGACATTGGGAAGACCCCAAGTGAAAAGGCAACCGAAGCCCTGGATCAGGTTGAAATTGACGGGAATCCTGACAAGTTCTTCATGATCGGCGCTTTCCTAGATGAAACTGAAAGGCAAGAGTTTGTATCCTTCTTACTTGGCAATATCGATGTGTTTGCATGGACACCATACGAGATGCCAGGAGTGGATCCATCTGTGGCCCAGCACCGCTTAAATGTTGATCCGAAATGTAAGCCAATTATTCAGAGAAGTTGACGGTTAGCCGCGGAGCATACTTCGGCCGTTGTTGAAGAGGTAGACCGGTTACTTGATGCTAGGGCAATTCGTGAAGCAACCTATCCTACACGATTATCCAATACTGTGGTTGTAAAGAAGAAGAATGGCTCTTGGCGTGTTTGTGTGGATTTCACGGACTTAAACAAAGCTTGTCCCAAGGATTGTTTTTCCCTGCCCAGAATAGGCCAACTCGTAGATGCAACGGTACATCATCAATGCATGAGCTTTTTGGAGGCCTATAGGGGCTATCATCAAATTTCCATATATCCGGAGGATCAAGAAAAAACCGCATTCCTCACCCCAAGAGGAACCTATTGCTACAAGGTTATGCCTTTTGGGTTGAAGAATGCGGGGGCAACTTATCAAAGATTAGTGACTGCCATGTTCAAGAAACAACTCGGCCGTACCATGGAAGTATACTTTGATGATATGGTGGTCAAATCTAAGGAAAATCACTCCCATCTAGCTGATTTGGTAGAGACATTCGATATCCTTCGAAAGTACAAGATAAAATTGAACACCTTGAAGTGTGCACTCAGCATTGGATCTGGAAAATTTCTTGGCTACATCATTAACCACTGCGAAATCGAAGCCAACGCGAGGCAAATAACAGAAATTCTAGAGCTTGGCTCCCCTCGATCAGTCAAAGAGGTTCAGAAGCTGATGGGAATGGCCGCTGCACTTAACAGGTTTATTAGCCGTTCCACAAATCGCTGCCGACAAGTCTTTCACACACTTCGGTAAGGCAGAGCATTTGAATGGACCCCCGAATGCCAGTCTGCTTTGGATGGCTTGAAGTCTTATCTCCGATCAGTACCATTCTTGGCAACACCTGCGGCAGGTGATCCACTCATTTTGTATATGGCGGTATCTGATCGCGTGGTTAGCGCTGTATTGTTAAGGGAAGAACTTGGGGAGCAATGACCAGTTTACTATGTGAGCAAAACCATGGCCCATGCCGAAACACGTTACCTTCCATTGGAAAAGCTTATCCTTGCTTTCGTCCTGGCTGCAAGAAAACTGATGCATTGCTTTCAGGGGCATACCATTGGGGTACTAACGGACTATCCCCTTCGGTTAGCGCTCCGCAATGCGGAAGCATTGGGGCGCATTTTGAAATGGGCTCTGGAACTCGGCCAGTATGATATCTAGTTTTTACCCAGAACTTCAATAAAGGGGCAAGTGCTCACTGACTTTGTAGTCGAATTCACAGGATCCCTCGCCGACTTTAAGCCTAATCAAGTGCAAACTAAGCCCAACTGGAGAATATATGTCAGAGATGTTTGGCAGATGTATTGTGATGGGTCATCCAACCAACATGGCAGTGGGGCTGGCGTAGTAATCATGACTCCCGAAGGGGCAATAATCGAACAGGCCGTCAAACTGGGCTTCAATGTATCAAATAATGAGGCCGAATACGAAGCACTGTTAACCGGCCTACGGAATGCACTTCACCTCGGTGCGCGGCGTCTGCTTATTGTCTGCAACTCAAAGCTAGTAATCAACCCATTGAAAGGGGAATATGCAGCC